GCCCCTAGTACCGCTTGTACCGTCCACTCCCCGACCCTTGGCTGTCTCCTAAGGCTTGGGCAGCCAGCAGTACCTCTAACAATGTAAAGCAGTCACTACTGTGTTATCTGCAATTCCACTTCACCTCTATTTCTCCTTATGATATGGTCTAGAAGGCGGGAGGGGGAGGGTACCACAGACTTTGAAGGAAGAAGTATTCATCGCTGAAATGTCTACTGAAGAAGTCGAATGAACCGGTCAGACCTAGGTGGTTCCACCGGAAGCCCAACCGAATTCCAAAGAGTCTTATATATCTCAGTTACATCTTTCTTACGGTCGCGACACTTGTTTCCCACCCTTTCAATCTTAAACGCGTCTTACGAGTAAAGATTTCTTGAGCCTCATTGAGTAACTCGTACCTTGGGGGCTGTAGTAGTTCTTGCCTGCGTTATTACCCGAGGACATCGTAAGCAGCTTTGGAAATAGCTAAATAACTACTACTACTACTATATTTGGACAAGAATGGAATCCGTCTTGAATTAACGTTCTGTTCCGGGAATGTCAGGAATGTGACTAGCGCAGACAAGTCATTAACTATTCCAGTGACGTATTACAGTCTGAATAACCAGTACCGTCGATAAACTACTGGAGCCTGAAACACCTATTCAGAGAGCTGAAGTGCTATTTAGCAAGGAAATCTAATGAATTTATCACCCGTCTAAACATATTGGAGTTCTCCAAAGAGCAGAAACTTTATCAATACAAATGGCTACTAGTAAGATCTAAAAAGAACTGATGAAGTGTCGATATACCCACCTGTGCATCGGTTGACAAGGAAAGAATCGTTAGGGATAGAATTAGAAGGGTTTTCATATTTTCACAATGATGGCTACCAACATTACAGCCCAGTATTTATACACTTCGGGAGGGCAACGCTCTTATCGATCGATGATTTCAGAATCTGCTCGCAAACACACACCGAGAGAGAGTGAATCATTCTCTAAGTGGTTGGGGTGTAACTCTTTGCCAATTGTATGGGAGGTAGTGGTAGTTGTGAAGGAAACGAACCTATGGGATTATTGTCTCTTAGCAAGTAAATTCCTATAGAATAAACGATCTTTCCACTCTGCCTTCCACTTACCAAACTAGTGGTCCCTCTTTGTTCTTTGTACCTTTGACTTCCTGTTTGTCTGTCCTTCCGTCAATGCTTCCTGCTACTTCAGGCTTATTCCAACTTTTCAATCAGTTAGTCCGTGTCGGTCAATCTTCGCTAGATTTTGTTCTGTAGTGGATTATCCCCTCTCTTCTTTCCCTCTCTGTAGCAGGGTTGTCATCTTTCTTTCCTGACTTTCTATACTTTTTACTTCCTGCTTATCTGTCCGTGTTCTAAGGTCAGCTAATCCCTTCTACTCTTTTTGTCAGCTATCGCTGTTCAACCACTTGGGATAACTACTCTGCTGTGTGGAACCCTCCTCGAATTTTGTTCATTGACCGCTTTAGGTCCTAAAAAACTGTTGAGGGCGGGTGGCGGGTCAAGGAGGCTGGTGGAGAGGGCAAGCAAGAGATGCGAGAAAGGGGTAAAGAAGCAGTATTGATGTTTTAGGTACTTACAGGTCATGAATGCTTCACGATAATAAAGTTTTCCTTATTTCTTCCCATGATCTGTTATGCCGGAAGCCCCTCTTTTGGGAGCGTTCTTCCTCTGACTTCTTCCCTGGACTTACACTCTTCGATAACTAGATTCTGCTAAAGCCGCAAAGCACTGCGTACCTACAGTACAATGAAATCCGTCGTCTTCCGTCAAGCAGCGAAATCCGGATTAATAAGCTACTGAGGTGTTCATATTCCCACTAGGGAATCCTTTCTGCATCGTAGGCTTCGAAAACCTCCGAGCCCCATCCTGCAGAAGCTGGGACGCATTAGTCGTGAGGTGGTCATGGGGCTAATGAGCCTTGTGACTGAGTGCGAACTAGCCATCGTGTGGAATCCTCGGCGGAGCTCACATGACTGTCAATCATCTGGCGATCATCGAACCCGGCTGAAAAACAGAAGCGAAGATTCAGTACGGGCACTCGGCTCTTACGGTAATCCCGTGACTTACCCACCGAACACCCCGTGTCCTTGCCCAAGGCCCCCTTTCGACGCGTCGTGTATGTAACGGGTGTAAATTTGCTTATTAACATGGGGTTGGATTACTGTAAGAGCGGAGTGCCGTACTGAATTTTTTCTTTTCTTTTTTCTTTTTTTTTCTGTGGCTGAGGATGGTTGCGGAAAGTAGTCCATTTCGGGAAACAAAATTCGTTGTAAACAGGTTTCTTAAGACGAGGGAGCCCGATCGTAAAAGTCAGCATCGTCGGTAGTTCCGTTTATTGAGTTACTCTTCGGTCTACATGACATTGGGTAATGGGGTGGGTAAGGGATCATAAATTTCCATGCTATTTTCACATTTCACTCGAAATAACCAATACAGCCTATGACATCACATCATTGAATCAAAACAATCATCAAACGTTCTAGTTTGGAGTTATTTCAAGTTTGTTTTAGGAATCACTCGAAGGCCACTCTGTTTATCAATCCGCCCACTGGAGTAACCAGTTTTGACTGCTGCAGAGTGTTCTTTCATCGGATCTGCGTAAATCGAAAGGCCACTTAACTTTTGTGAGAACCGTAAATACAAAAACTACAAGTGGTTCCAAAGGGAAGGCTCTTTGAGGAATGCTCAAGTTTCCCACTTCCTTAGAAATCGCAGAAATTGCCTAAGCCTGTGACAGTACAGTTTCACGGTATTTGTTAGACAAGTACGTAGTTCTGAGGAGGGCGAGAATTTCCATATTATCTACTGAACAAGTTACCGATAGTGGGGCCTATCCAAGTAGGGTATAGTCAATCACATTACATTATTTGAGCTACATTTATTTGACTTTATTTAAAGGTCCATGGGGAGGCAGATCGGAGAGGAGTCCCTCAGTGCTATGCTCTCTGCCTCACTATGAATACACTACTGAATTATTTGAAAATAGACTTTTTTCAACAGTGACACTCATAGGCTTTTCGACTGATGGTGACGTGAGCTAACAATAAGTGCTAAGTTGCGCCCTATCACAATGCATGGCCCCGTGCAATTCCCGGCTTAAAGGCACCGTTAACATGATTTTGGGTAATCCAGATTATAATGAAAAACGAAAGACAAGATCGAAACTAGTGCGACTGAGGTGAAGAAACTGCGCGCATCGAAGTTTTCACAGTGAAAAAGGGCCTCAAAAAAACGTTAAAAAGGGGGCTGGACGTGAATGAAACCAGAAAAATGGAGAAGGTGGGGCGCCCGGACAAGCTAAACAGTGCGTTTCACTGCGCGCGTGTGGGTCCTGGTGCGAAGAACAGACAATGGTAATCCACAATTCATTTACTTATAAGCATAAATAAACAAAAAAAAANAAAAAAAAACCTTAGTAACAGCAAAAGTAGCTCACCTTTTCCAGCCTCTAGGAGTAGGAAATCAAATAAGGGATCGCGGCAGCAAAAAGAAAAACAGAGGAAAGAAGAATGGGAGAAAAACATCGCCTCATAACACGGCGTTTAGCTTTTTGTGCGTGGGTCCTAGAACGAATAATAGCAATCTGTTTTGTCTCGACACTCGTCTAACGTGACACCGATCAAGGGGCGGAGGGCGACCGTGGATATCTCTCCGGCCCCTTATTGTGCCCTATCCAGCCGTTTTCCGACCTCATTCCTGTACGAATGGTACCAGAGGGGGCTTCGAATTCAAACCATGCGCAAATCTCCGAACCACTTTTTTGTGAACAGTGCCTTTAACACCTGCGCGGGCCAAATAAGCCTTTCATCTCCTTGAGGTCGTTTGGACTGGAACACAAATGGAACCAGTGGGAACACACTCGTCAGGTAGGGTAAAAAGCATGGGGTTCTTCATCGCTTGGCCATTGCAGGACATTGTATAAGCCACATACTCCTTGAAATACTAGCACGATTCTGAATGGAATGTCATGGCGGGGGCGCATCCTAAGTACGGAATTGATTAGAACCGAAAGGTCTTGTACATTCATGCTATCAACCTCTTCAAACTTCTCAAAAACCAATACTTTTGGTGGGGATTTTTGGTTACGCATGGAGGACGTCGTTCGTGGCTTGGGCTGCCGACAGACCATAGATGTCGCTATGAATTAAGCGATTATTCCAATTTCTCATTCATTCATATTTAGCCTTCCGATAGAAATAAATTCCTCATTCTCGACGATCAGCGCAAAAAATGAATATTCTGCCTCGTGGCTCTTGAATGTACATAGATGAGAAATCTCCGAAAAAATTCAGCCGATGCTGCTGATTAAATGCAAAAATTTGCAAAACGCAATAATTTCGAAGAAATTCTCGTAAGCCGAGGAATTCTGACGAAAAAGAGCAATATGACTCATTCTTCTCTCAATCCCCCCATGAAGCCATAAAGATTTGCTGACCTCCAAAAAATACTGAAAAAAAAAACAAAAAAAATTGCCGAAGAAGCAGACATCAAGAAATCACAATAAAAATAAAAATTTATTTCCTTTTGCCGATGAAATAACAAGAAAATACTAATTCAATCCGAATCATCTGGTAACAACGAACTGATGAGCTGTACACGATTCATGCTTGGGTAATGGTTGGTTGAGGGGCCTCGGTCGTGGTCGGACCTTAGTGGTCCCAGGTAGAATCCCTCCGCTCTTGTTGCAGAGTCCTTCATGTGAACGCTGACGGAGATGGCCCACGACCGAGTGGAAAGGGGTCGAGTGTGATCGTTAAAAGGTTCTTCTTCCAGCTCTACCCAAACTCCGCAACTTTAGGTCCCGAGAGTCACCCAGGTGATCTTTTCAGTGCACACTCGACCATAGAGCAGAGACAATGACTGAGTACTAGACAAGGCTTTACATAGAATCCGCTGTATGGATACATCAATCACCAACAACCAGGAGATGAGGAGAAGATCGGAATCCATTTAGATTTTCTACATGGTAAATGGGAACAAAGTGATATTATTTACTGCCTCCGCTTCCGCCACTGCCCGGGCTTTCCTTTCGTCGGAACATATCGTGGCGAATCTTCGGGCTTACAGCTCGAGTAGGTGGTGTCCGTGTCGGTATATTCGGCAGATCACCAGATGGGGCCATATCCACACCACGAACTCGCATTACTCGTTGCTAAAAAAGAATTTTGAACGCTAAGATAGAAAAAAGTTATCGATAGGGCTTAACAGCTTTGAATTTGACCACGGGCTAAGGTGGGTGGACAAGGGATAAGGAATCCCGGTAACAAATTCTATCAAATTACCGGATCCGCAGATGGTGGTTGAGGTGGGACGAATCGGGATGCAGGCACCAGCACGGTCTCCTCGTGAACACCAACATCTGGGTCAGCGCTCGCCTCAACTGGATGCCAATCGACTGTCTAAATGTATGATCTCATAAAAACATAAACATATTCAATAATAAATAAACATATATTATCAAATAATACTTCATTCTATTATCAATAATATTTTATGAAGTAATAAATAATAAAATAAATAAATTTTTAGCCAAAAAGGGTCACACCTCTTGAACACTTGATGGAGCTGACAGATGCATATGACTAACAGGATCTTCAGCTTTCACCTGAATCAGGAAAACTTCTTAGTATTCAATGCAACACGACAGGTCGCTACGCAACCGCACGCGTCAAAGGCATGCGACGCGCGCGGTCGCGCAGCGTTAAGCTCGCTCTATGCTTTGGACTTGTGCAGTGGATAATGATATAAGGTTGACTAAAAACCATAAGTTTTTAGATTTATACATTCTGCAAGAAACAAGTGAACAAGAAGGTGAAGAAATAGGGAATATTCAAGTGCCTACCTCGTAATTACTGGAAGCATTACTTCTTGGCCGATTTCTACTTAGAAGACGTGTAGGCGTTCTATTCCATATCTGACTCTGAAATTAAAAAAAAAAA